TTATTGAGAGAAATCAGAAATTCTCTAAAATAGACAGAATCCTCCTCATGGACGTTTGAACGGGTTTCTCTGGTTGCCAAAACACTTTCCCTTCTTTCGACAATCCCATCTTCGTTGTCAACCACCCAGTTCCGGAAAGACCATCCTCCAAGCCCAGTAGTAATCAGGTACATTCTTTTGCAAACAGAAATCTACTGATGATATATTTTCAAGCTATATTTAAGAGTTTTATTTCTCCTGGAACCAGGTCTCTTAAGAGTTGTTTCCCCAGAAGTAACTATGTTGCTAACGAAAACTTTCCGTTTGTCCCATGACATTTTTTTTTTTTTCAGAAATTATGGAAGAAAATCACAGGAACATTTTGATTCACTAATTTACATTTACGGGCGGAATTCTTTTCACCACCACATTCGCATCGTGGCTTGAGGCGTCGCTTTGATATCTTTATCATTACTAGCTGACCCGGCAAACTTTGTTTTGCCATAACATTATTTCTAGAAAAAAATGTTTTTACATAAATATTCATCAAAGAACTTTCATTATTTTATTTATACTTCTTTTTAGTTTGGCTATCCATGAAAACGGGATTCTTTAGTTTTTCAAACTATTCTACTTATTCTCTACTTCTTTTTAGTTCGGCACTCTATATCTCTTCATTTTTTCATTTATTTACTACTCGATCACTTCTTTTTAGTTTGGCTATCTATAAAAACGTGTTTCATTAGTTTTTCAAACTTCTATTTATTACAATAGCTGATGCTGATACCTGGCACACGTTGTTTTGCTATACAGGGTGTTCATTTCAGGACTTCCCACCCTAATTTTCTCGAAATGTGTGTATGTTTTTGAAAAATTCCGAGACACGTCAACTACATTTTCGAGGGGGACATGGTTCTAAAATATTTTCAGCCCCGCGGCGTTGCCGCTTCTAACGAAAAGAAGCAACAACTTTGTTATTTCAAATGGAACACCCTGTATTTCATTGCATTTTTAGATTCTCCCTGAAAAGCTGATTTCATCAATGCATCACACTTGGGGTCTAGCAGGAATGATTACAGAGATATAGGGTGTTCAAAATCGAGATTTTACAACTTTAGGATTTTTTTGTGTCGAAACTATTCATTATTGGTCAAAACGGCTTTCATGTCCCTATCTCAACTTTTGATTTACTATCTACTGACATTTATTTGAAACAAATACAGGGTGATCAAAAGTCTGAATCTTGAACCACCCTGTATTTGTTTCAAATAAATGTCAGTAGATAGTAAATCAAAAGTTGAGATAGGGACATAAAAGCCGTTTTGACCAATAATGAATAGTTTCGACTCAAAAAAATCCTAAAGTTGTAAAATCTCGATTTTGAACACCCTATATCTCTGTAATCATTCCTGCTAGACCCCAAGTGTGATGCATTGATGAAATCAGTTTTTCAGGGAGAATCTAAAAATGCAATAAAATACAGGGTGTTCCATTTGAAATAACAAAGTTGTTGCTTCTTTTCGTTAGAAGCGGCAACGCCGCGGGGCTGAAAATATTTTAGAACCATGTCCCCCTCGAAAATGTAGTTGACGTGTCTCGGGATTTTTCAAAAACATACACACATTTCGAGAAAATTAGGGTGGGAAGTCCTGAAATGAACACCCTGTATACATTTTCTTCTAGAAAATATGTTTCTAGTTAAATATTCATCAACACACTTTTATTATTTTGTTTTGAACTTCTTTTTAGTTTGGATATCCATGAAATCGTGTTTTATTAGTATTTCAAACTTATATTTTTATTTTCTACTTCTTTTTAGTTCGAAAATCATAATGGCGGATCCAATATGGCGGACGAGTTTTGTAATTATGATCAGATTCTATTCAAAATTGGTATCTGGAGGTTTCAGAGGTCGCAGATATCAATCATTTGTCGAAATAGGGAAATTCAAAATGGCGGATCCAATATGGCGGACGAGTTTTGTAATTATTGTCAGATTCTATTCAAAATTGGTATCGGGTGGTTTTCGAGGTCAGAGATTATGATTCTTTTGTCAAAATTTTGAAATTCAAGATGGCGGATCCAACATGGCGGACGAGTTTTGTAACTATGGTCCGATTCCATTCAAAATTTGTATCTGGGTGATTTTCGGGTCGGAGATTATGATTCTGTCATCGAAATTCGGAAATTGAAGATGGAGGATCCAATATGGCGAACGAGTTTTGTAATTATGATCCGATTATATGCAAAATCTGTGTCTAGGGGTTTTCGAGGTCGGAGATTATGATTTTATTCTTCAAAATTGGAAAATTCAAGATTGCGGATCCAATATGGTGAAAGAGCTTTGTAATAAATAGTAGTTTGAAAAACTATAATGAACCACGCTTTTATAGATAGCCAAACTCGAGGCCAAACTGAATAGGAGTAGAAAATTGATAGTATAGTTTAAAAAAAATAGCAGTTTGATATACTAATGAAACACGATTTCATGGATATCCAAACTAAAAAGAAGTTCAAAACGAAATAATAAAAGTGTGTTGATGAATATTCAACTAAAAAAATGTTTTCTAGAAGAAAATGTATATAGCAAAACAACGTGTGCCGCCAGGTATCAGCATCAGCTATTGTAATGAATAGTAGTTTGAAAAACTAATGAAACACGTTTTTATAGATAGCCAAACTGAAAAGAAGTGAGTAGTAAATAAATGAAAAAATGAAGAGATATAGAGTGCCGAATGAAAAAGAAGTAGAGAATAAGTAGAATAGTTTGAAAATCTAAAGAATCCCGTTTTCATGGATAGCCGAACTAAAAATAAGTATAAATAAAATAATGAAAGTTCTTTGATAAATATTTATGTGAAAACAATTTTTCTAGAAATAATGTTATGGCAAAACAACGTTTGCCGGGTCAGCTAGTATATCATAAGGATATGTATGTCTATACTAAATTGTATTCCCATTACTTGGAAATTAGAGGACTCATCTCATTTATTCTTTTAACATAATATCATGTGAGTACCTAATCCTCATCACACATTACACTTCCAAAAACGTATACTGAAAGGGCGAGATTGATGAGCAATGAACTTTGATAGTTAATTAAAAATTCGACCCAAAACGAATACTCAAAATCCTACCTGGTATGGACTGCGATGGCTTCCGAAGTCAGGAATCTCGATGTTCGGGCGGCCGCCACTTGCAAAATACACAGTTTCCCGGTGTAATTTCGCCGACGCAACACTGAGAAACACCACTGTTACGTATTGCACATACGAGGATGAGTTACATAAAGTTCGCACCACAAATTCGATTATTTTTGTTCGGGAGCGAGAGTTTTCACGTGTTCTCTCTGCTATCGATAATTTTAGAGAGAGAGAAGATTGAGTTTCTTTCGGTAATTGTCGGATAGTATTCGGACGGATCATCGCACGTTTCTCGATAGGACAGACAAGCAGTCGTTTTGGGTAACGCGCGAAAATACGAATCAAATATTTTATTAGACTTTAAATATTAAGAGTGCATTAAATTCGTTTATCTTAATAAAAAATAAAAAGAGAATCGAACATATACCTACAGATGAAAATATAATCTTCAAAATAATATTTACATTTCAAACAATCTTACGTGATTTGAACACTATAATCTAATTCTACATTCTCTATTCTCTCCTTCGATTTCGAAAAGGGTTCAATTTAAATTATATTATTGTTCTGTGATAATCATAAAATACGGTCCTGCTTTGTGGATAAATTGACATACCAGAGATTTTCAACAGTACAGAAATAATTTACCTACATAACTAAATACTTTCGCTATTCAATGATAGATGAACGACCGAATCTCGACAATCGGCCATATTTTACTTATTTTCACTAGCGTCGCCTACGAACCGCTAAAGAAACTGAAGCTTTTGTTGGCTTCATCATTCAACATGATGTCGAACAAATACGAACACATAATCGATTCCCTTTTTACATAAGCTACAGAAATTTGACTGAAGAACGTCTCCTAGCGATCAAATCTCTGTAGTCATTCGAAATAAACTCATCAAACCTGGTACCGTTGAATATCTGATGTATATCCCCTTGAAGCCTGGGTAATGATATACAAAGTATTCCATTTGAAGAAACGAAGTTGGGTTGAGTGTAAGTTGAGAAGTGAGTAATTTGACTCCAAATTCAGATATATTTTTCACCGCAATCCCAAGTTCTGAAGAAACGTTTCGATTGAACATACATAGATCATATTTTATATTCACCCATGAACAATGCAGATAACCTCTTTTTCCAACTTTGACATTATATTTTCAGATGAAACAGTGGGTGAATCTTCTCGAATCTCTGCAGAGGAATGAAACCAAACCAGAACCAAAAGTAACTGACAAACCAAGTTCATAACTGAGTATTAATGATCTTCTTTCATGTGAAATTTTGGACTCTGTCGAATTTTACCAATTGGCGAGTTGTAGTACAAGTTGACAAAACCTATAGTCTCCACGTAAGTATATCTTGAGTCCCTATTAATTCATTAAGATGAGTATAAAAGAGTCAACTGTTTTTTTTTATCTTGAAATCTACTGAAAATGCCTCCGATGATTCTGAAAATGGTTTCTAGTTTTAAAAAATGTTATTGGGGCTCAACATGTACGTGAATTGCATAATGTTGTGACTATGTCATTAAACTCTACTATGGTAATTCATTGATTGTTCACGCTAACAAGATGATCCACCTCCATGTAAAATGTTGAAGCAAAATTTGGCCTTAGTTCTTGGCTGGTTCGTAGGCGGCGCTAGCGAAACTGCAAAATATGGCCGATTTGTCTATATTCTCGATATCTGCTCGAGTTCATTCATCTACAAGTTACTGAATCATCTTGGGAATATCCTTCTTTCTGAAGCAGGAGAATCACTCAGTTTGATATTCTGAAAGCTTTTAAATAGAAATATTTGAAGCCGTATTCCTTCTTGCATAAAAACATCTAAAATAAACTAACTTCGAATATATTCTGCTTTACCCTTTAGTACCGATCTCTACATTTTGCTTTTCAACAAAAAGTAGTTCACCTCGTCGCTCATATACACCGCCACCTACTGAATAGAATTTCTAGCTTCATTGATCTCATAAGAATAGTTCATCTTGTTAGTGTAAATAATCAATGGTAATTCATAGGGGGGAAATGTAAAGGCGGTAGGTATTTTTTCTGATATTAAAATATATTGGTGTATATCAATATGTGGTACTATGACAAACACGATTGATCATCAAACAAAATTAATGTCAAGAATTTCATTGTCTATAAACTCCATATCAATATAATTTTGCATCAAACTATGTTTTACTGTAAAATTGAATCATCGTATACATATTATCACGTATAGTTCCAATTATACCTGCCTTTTTCGAAATTACATTGATGTAATGTTTCTATCTACAAACAACTTTTGGTCATTACTACTTGACATAATCTCTGAATGATAACTTCGCCTGTACATTTTTCAACTGTACCCATTGTTTCATTAGAAATTAGATTTGTTGATGTTGATATTTCATCTCTTTGAAGAAACTGTTCATTTTCAAAAATCTCTTTTTCAACTTGAACTGTAACTCGATGAAACCGTCGTCTTCCGCCGGACTCCAAAATGTTTATAAAATGTATTTTGTTATGTATATTTCAAGACTTGTCATTTTGAATATTCATAATCGAAAAGTGTACTTGATTTTTCAATTGACAGAAAAATCAAATATCTAAGTCATATTGTATATTACTGTATCTACAGAGTATCCATTTAATTTCTTTTTTGTTTGTTTTCTTGTTCTGTCCAATTCAGCATCAAATTGTTAGTTCAATTATTATTCATTCACTTGTGAAAAAGATTATTCAGTTTATTGCACACCCAGTAGCCTGATGGGAATAATTGATTATTTATTATTACATAGATTTATAAGAAAATGAACAATGAGGGAAAATAGTTCGAAGTATGGAGTGAGTAATTCAATGAAACGATTTATTCTGTTTTTTCCGGTGCAATACTTCAGCATGTTCTTTCATGTTTATAAATGACTGATAGTATTGAATTTTCACTAACTAGTCAAATGTAGCCAAAATATTAAAATGTTCAAATTGTTGAAATAATTTATTTGGCTTCGTTAATGTTTGAGTCGTTCAGTGTTTTTGTAATATATTAGATTTATAAGATTATCTAAGGATCTTTCATAACCCATGAAGGATACCTGCTGATAGGAGTAACTGAGGCTGTGGATAAGGCTAAGATTTGTAGTTAATAAACGATCATTTCGTACTTGTTTCAGTTATTTCATGCATCTAAATCTGTACACGCTGTTTCCGAAGTTTGAGCTATAAATGAAGTTGGTAATAAAATACGAAAACACAAATGAAATGAAGGAATACATTTTTGCCGAAATATTTCAATATCAAATTTCGAAGTGTGTCTGAACCTTCTAAAAATCATTGATCAGAAATAACAGCCGAGTCAGAAAATTCGTTTTCGGCGGGGTAGGAAGCACCGGCAGTTTCAAATACTTTGGCAATATTGCGTTACCTTCAGTAATGGTATCATATGTAAGCAAGAGTACATCTTCTGTAAATTTTCGACTGTTGAAAAAATTATTCTGCGATATACCATTTCATACAATACTATTTATGCCTCCAATTTAGAAAACACCCTTTATGCAGAAAGCGTCTCGACGTTTATGGAATCATAGGTGTTCCAGAACAAGGTGCAATCAAATATGCCTATTGAACTGGAACTCAATATGCATCATCTGAATGATTTTACTTATGCACAAAAATTCACCGTTGAGCCATGAGGGGTCGATTTAGTTCAATATTCCATTAAGATTTTTCGGTAGGGCTTGTTGGTTACAAGCTCAAATTTTAATGAAAAAGATTCATGTTATGAATTCGAAAATATTCGGTAAAAGGTGACAGGAGTCAATTGACAACATTTTGATAGTTACTGGCAGAAATAAATGAATATACACTTTATTTCATTACCTACCCAAAAACCATTTTTAAATCATGAAGTAATCGTCCTGGGCCACGCAACTGAGCAAACGCTCTTGAATATTGGTGACCTACCGACTCACGTACACAAATATGCTTCTCTGGCCCCGCTCTAGTTTCGTATGGGATGTTGGTTCCAATGATGGGATTGATGGGCCAACGAGGAAATGCAATAATTGATATTCGAAATTATGGATTCGAGTGAGCAACAGTCTTCAAAATCTTGAAAAAGATTCTACCGTTTTAGACAGAAAACCCAGAAATCTGGTTTCATCAGGAAGAAGCACAATTTTCGATCAACGAAATGTTGATTTGAATAGACAGGACTGTCAAGAATATCCTCATAGTCAGCGACGAAAACTTAGCAAAGATTAGCTGAGATTGCAGATAGATTATCAGAAATGAATTCGGGAACCGAGATCACTTCCGTGGCTGATTTACAAGCAGACATGAGAGCACATCACACATGTTCATTAATAAATGTTCATTCATGATGCCGATCTCATGAACGCATCGCTAGATCGTTTCAACCCTAAAATCAAGTGCTTCTTACTAAAAATTGGAGCATAAATCATCAAGCATTAAAGCAATTAAATTCTCGATTATTCCTGAAACACTAGGGAACAAGTTTGACATTTTTGGTGGCAGTGGTGCTCTTTTTTTTTATCGCTTGGATCGCACGAAAGGGAATTCCTATAATGTTCAAAGAACATCGTGCTCATGTATCAATCTCACCTGCAACATACAATGCAGAACTAGAAAGTTCATATGAATTATGTGCTGCAAATAACCCGGTGGTACCAACCTGTGGAGTCAATTTGATGGCAGTCAAGCTCGGTTTGCGAGGAACATTCTATGGTCTATTATTGAGGCAAAATTGAGGATATAATTGGTACAGTTTTTCAGAACACGGATATCGATTTACGTGAAAAGCAATTGCTTGAGTACTTTAAAAGCATCACAAGCGAAGTCACGCAGTATGTCACAAGTCATATTTATGTTACATTGAAGAGACTGTTTCATTTACTAATGACCAAATTTGCAATGACAATTTATCACTCTATATCGCAATATTTCACCTTGTAAATTTCCCAGCACGATTATTCAACCTCTTTCGGCTGTATTCAATATCTTCGGTGGTGACTAGTCAATTTGATCATCTAGTATTTTTTCCAAGTGATCTCTATTCCTCTGTAAAGTATCTGAGCAGTTCAGTTACCCTGACTAAGAAATAAGTGAGTTGCCCTGGATTTTTCGATCCTAGAAGAGGCTACCTAGCGACCATATTGCAGTTCAATTGTGTGGCTTTAAATTATCAAGCTCTGGTTGGAAAGGTTTGTGAAAGCAAGGTTTCATATGTTTGTGAAAGCAAGGTTTCATATATTTGTATAATTGGAAACAAATCCACTGTGAGTGAGATCAATTGCCTTCTTCACGTGAGGTATATTTTGGTCTCTGGTTTTGGGACAAAATACCCTGATTGTAGGGGATTAATTCAACTTTTCCACCGAACACGTACAAGCAGCCCGCACATCAACAAAGAGCTTTTTCTCCTTATCCGTTGTCTTATGTTTTTGTGGTCATCAATCCCATGGTGAACTAACAGTTTTTTGCACCCCCTACGTGTGACACCTGGTCCATCGTTATTGTATTTGGATGCCATTGGGTGCTCGCTGTTGTTGTTGAGCTGATGATACCCTGCGAAGTCATCGTCTGAATCTACCCGTGTAAGTACTTAGTGAATGAGTAACCTGCTTATTCGTAAGCTCGTTCCGATTTCAATACCTACGTGAAAACTACCACCAAATTTCTGTGAATATTTTACCACTGCACTGCAAAATCCAATATTTTGCGTAACCTTCAATAATATTTTACTCACATTAATATAAATCAGATTTTCAGCACATTTGTACACCACAGTGATCACCTTGGTATCCATTTTTGTTTGGCTATGAATATAGCATTTCAGTATAACCTTTCGGATACTTTGTACCTCATTTACGTTATATTGACCATTGTCAACATGTAGATTATTAGATTTTCGCAGTCCTAGCTCTATACAGGCAGCTCGAAGATCATAATTTCACCCTGCCAAACGTACTCACCCTAGTGTACCACTGAGCTAGTCAGTGTCTAATTTCCACTTCATATAGTTAGGCACTCTGAACACAATTTTTTGTAACCGAGACCCTTGCTCGATCCTGCAAATCTTTGGATTGAGGGTAAACACCTAAGTGATTTTCAAATGGTTGCAAGTATCACCGTTTGCTAACCCAATATCCAGAACTTCCTCATTGAAACTCACTACCACTTCGCAACAGTTATAAAACCTATACGAACAGCGAGGCTCTGGAACACATTGCCAAGGGAGATGTTCCCCGAGGCATATAACCTCCAGAAATTTAAGAAGAACACCAATTCCTACCTTGTTTTCCTTGGTTCTCACGATGTTCTCTGAACATTACAGGATATCCCTTTTCGTGGGAACCAGAACATGATAAAAAATACTAAAGGAACATATCAATTTCAACTGAATAACGATATCATACAACCTTCCAAGTCAGAATGGGCAAGTCAAATACATATGACTCCATAGAAGAATGTTTCTCGACAGCCTTATTGTGGAGATTACCGACTTGATCGACATCCAGTCCCTGAAATTGACTCCCAGCACGTGTTGAAAAAGAAAACCATTTTCTCCAAAATAAGATATAAAAGCGTATACCTACTATCAGATACCAATGACTAAAGTAGATAAGCAGAAAACTGGAATATTAACCCCATTCACCTTATATGTGAGTTCAACGTAATGAGTTCTACTCTCCGAAATGCGCCTGTTTATTAGAGGCCTACATTTCCCGTTCTCCTACCTTGAAGACATATTGGTGGCATCAGAAGACTCAGTACAACGCAAACAACACCTCAATATGATATTTGACAGATTGGATCAGTGGGCATTGTTCACGATAATCTCGGACTCAATACCCCAAGTTTTCCAACGACCCTCCTTAATTGCCACTGGATTGCTATTTATGCAAGAGCAAATTCGTGAGTAATGCCTATTTAATATGAATTATTTGTACGGGACTGTCAGTACAAGTGGATTTTCTAAGTGGACTAATTCCATTATAAGTAGAA